GTTTCGGACACAAGTCTGCCTGGAGTACGACTCCAGGCAGACTGTTACTTTTTCAAACATCCACAACAGCCAAGAAGAGTAATCTCTCTGCCTTTAATCACTAATATCAGGACTGAGGGGCATCTGTTTCAGAAGGACCACACATACACAAAAAGAAATAAGAAGTGATTCTATATAATCTGTTTTGGTCAGTGTTTTGTCGATTCGCACTGTTCCCCATGAATTCTGGTGACCTCACGTATCTGACGTACGTTCCCTCCTTGTCAAGACGGCATATTCAATCTGGCAGGGCACTGTCAATAACGACTTTTTTGAACGAAGTAATAAAAAAGCACAATATCTGATGGCTAGTGTCATGTACATGCCTCTATTAGATTTGTTTGTTGTTATTTATTTTATCAAAACAAGCTCTTGTAATGAACCAGAGTGGACCTGGATGACATAAAAATTTCTGTTTTTTTTTTGTTTTTTTTTTCATTTACCTTAAAAGCTTTAAATTATAATGTCATTTAAAGTCCAGATTACAAATCTCTGTTCAGCTTTGAAATCTCCTTTTCTCGTTCTGTCAGGTTCAGGCATGAGGCACAGAGTTCCCTGGACTGCTTTGGCAGCCCTGGTGATGATGTGACTGCCATTTGTTCCCTTCAGCGTGTTGGTAAAGGACGCATCAAGAAGCTTCGCTCAGCCCAGACGCATTCATACAGATCGGCTTACAGCTGGCATACTACAGGGTAACACAACACACACACACACACACACACACACACACACACACACACACACACACACACAACAAATATATGGCATTTCAATCAAGAGGTCTAAAGTCAGAATTTGTGTTGTAGTACACAGAGTCTAACAACTAAAGGGAAGTGATTATTGATTGCGGTAACCGCACTGTAAATATCGGTGTACCTTTTGTCATATTCACCTGTTTTAGACCAACAGCATAATTAGATAATGACTTTCATGCTCATTGATCATTGCAGCAACTACCTGGACTTTTGTGGTGTCCATGAGGTTTATTTTAGAAAATGTTTCAGATTAAGAGTTAATCCTTAAACCTCCCTTCCTGGATAGATCTGTTTATCTCTCGTCTGTATCTCTATCATATGCTGCGTGTTTCCATTGAGCAATCTTCAAATGTTTATTTGACAATGAGCACATATGCATCTCTTTCATCTGCTGCCTGTCTCTCAAACCTATTCTCCTTCGTCAGGATCGTGGTGGTTTCTGTCTGACCTACGAGGCGTCGATGACCCGTCTGTTCAGAGAGAGGCGGACGGAGACTGTGCGATCCTGCTCCAACAAAGCTCTGCCTTTGTCAAAGCTCTAGAGGATGGGGAGGTACTGATCAAGTTCCTGATCTGCTCTCTTTGAAGTCTATAAGAGTGAACGCTCACACACAAACATAAACTCTTGCTGACAACCAATGTCTGCCCAAACTCCTAATGTCCATCCACAATCGCCATATTGTCACAGTAAAAAATTCTCATATTGATTTATAGATGATTTTATTTCAGGGTTTGGTGACATGTGATTTAGTTTTGACAGGCAGCGGAGCAGTAGCAGGTCTCTTCCGACTGGCTTCTGAGAGGCACCAGAACCTTTATCGGATGGCTATGACTGGAGCTGCGAATCGACAGACACCTCTTCTGCCTGTATGTGGTGTCAAGTACCTGGGGGTGGAGTCACCGTTCCTTAAAGAGGTCAGTTCCTGGTTTTGTTCACTGTCCAGTGTTGCATGTATTTTTTAGTCTCCTCTGATTTTCTTATTGACAAACTGTTCACAGAATTTGTGTGTATAAGTGACAGCAGTGTCAAAGCACCACTTACATGTGTTTGATAGTAGCGACACACGTCACATAGGTTTCTTGCTTTAGTAGCAGTGCAGAGAGGATTTACCTCACATGTTCTGCTTCACCTCTTCTCTTTTCTCTCTGTCTTGCTCACATCCAGGTTTCTGTCCAGAGCCCTGCGTCCTCTCCACCAGTCAGACGCCAGTTCAGCAGATGAGTTGTTTGACCTGAAGAACCATCCCGACTTTGTGTCGCTGCGGCAGGTTTCGGACCTGTGAGTAACATGCATGTTCTCTAATTGACTTTATAAGATTAACCTGCATTTTATTATCATTGCATATTGCTTACCCATTAGTGCTGCATAATACTACAGTTTAACATTTGATGTTTGGTCATTGTAGTTGACCAATTTGATGTTAACTTGCCAACCATAGGAACAGGGTTACATAACTTCAAACAAGCCATGTACTCATGCACGTGCGCTCCAGTACTTCATAAAAAGCACACACGCAATTTGACATACGAGTCACTATTGTTGCTCTGCAAAAAAGCTTCTTGGAGCATTACATTCATCACTTTTTTTTTTTTTTTTTTGAAAAAAATTGTCACGAACAAGTCCATAACATCGTGGAAAATTAATTAGTATTTCAGCTTCTTCTGGTTCCCTCATCCCGAAGTCAATGGGGTTTTTGAATGTCTGTGGTTAACACAAAGCTCAACACATTTTATTGTATGTTAATATTTGCATGATAAAGATACATTCAGTAAATACCCCGCTCGTCTCTTAAAAAAGGCTGTTGCCTAAATGATACTACAGAGGTTATTGGGTACAGGAGGAGGTTCTCTTGCCTCAGTTTATCTCAGATGATCAATGAACTCATCAGGTCTATTCTAAAGAGCCTTTAAGATCTACACTAAATTGATTACAGTTTTCTAATAGAAGCGACAAAGTCAGTGCAAAGTGTGATTCGATTAGGAATTAGTGATCATTGTCCTAGAGCAGTATTAGGAAACACACACGAAGAGAACCTCATCCAATTATAGTTAAGAGAAATGTAAGAAATTGTAATGAAACAAGCTTTTCTTTAACGACCTCTATGATAGTGCATTATCTTACATTCGGGTCTAGTGGTTGATGCACTAAGAGCATCCTACTGAGCTTCATTTAGAAAGATGAGAAAAAGCACTTCCTTGATGGAAAAGCTACATCTGATAATTCTTGAACTTGTCTGTGTGTACCTGCAAAATACTGGGATTTTGCGTCATTTCTAATAACTCTTATCTACTTATGTGAAGTTTGATGTATGTAATCTAGTGAGATTCTGTTTCAGCTAAAATACACTGGTCACCTTATAAGGGTTAATTAAGGGTATAAGGTTCTAATGATAGGTCCACTTCTTTTTACATTTTATATTAATTATAGTTTCATCTTTACTAACTGGCGTGAATTAACATGGATGATATAACATTGTGTTCAAACATCATATAGACATGTTGTCTAAGAATAACAGAAGAAATTGTTTTTTGTATAGAAACAGAACAAATGCCCTGTGCTCTGTAGGAAAGGATTGTGGAAGCCGTTTTCGTCTCTTGATCATGTGAATTAATTCACAGGCGTGCTCTGCTCCACTTTTAAACACTTGGATCCTATGATCATTCTGCCTTTTGTTATTATAGGTGATATTTAAGTACACATAATTTGCATAGTATGGTTATTACAAGGCCTGATTAGAATCTTCTATTATCCATTGTAATCATACTAGACTGGTGCTGGTCTTTCACTGTCCCTTAATCTATTACTTGAAACTTGGAAGAATCTGCATCTTCTTTGAGAAACACTTTCACTGCATAGTATTCTGATGTAGCTGATGACACATCAGAATGATCTTTGTGACAGCTGACTCCACTCCAAATTCTTGTTAAAAAACTGGCCAAGCAACTCAGGACACACGCATACACAGAGTATAATACTTTGCCTTTTCCACCGTGTGTTTACAATGGCGCATTTA